GCCTCGCTTAGGCCAGCCTCCTTGCCCTCCTCATACGCCACGGCGTGGTCGATTGAGGTGTCGGACACGTGCTCCATGCCGATAGCGCTCGGCTTCTCGTCCGCGGAAGCCATGTCGCAAAAACAGTGGGTAGAAAGATGGGGTAGAGAAGAGATCTGGGGATGAGCTACAATCTGGGGTACAACTCTGGGGTCGGAGTTTATATGCCTTCATTAACGCGACGCGAACCACGCCAACGGGAGCCGGTCCAACGGCGCAACGGACTAGAATTATCCCTCCAACAACTTTGCGCGCACTAGAAGGATGCACTGTTGCTTCCGCGCCTCTTCGCGGACTGTGCTGATGCGAGCTGTGGTGACCAATGGCCCGGCCATAAGACGGTGTCATGATAGCAACCGGCTAAATCGATATAAGAGAGGCACTCGTGATGCGCCAATCGTCCGCACGGAGGACGACCCTTCGCCTGAATCGACGGCTCGGACACCAACAGACCGAGAAGCTTGTTGATTGCGCTGACGAAGTGAACAAAGCTCACGGTGTTTGGGTATCGACAGGTTTACCCGAGCGGTGTTTGATTGAAAGGCGAAGCTTATGGCTGTAGTACGTACCGCTCCGCCGTACTGTACAGCAACGAGACCTATAGCATGCCGATCTAGCCATGATCCCGGAAGCGTGGTATACGACGCGACGGTCAGAGCTTAGTGCGTACCCTGACGCTGTTTGACTCTACGAGTCTATCTGGGGATCATCCAATAGACACTGCGTCTTTTTACTGGCATCACTGATCGCACCTACGCTCAAGTACTTCTGATGTTAGATATAAGACTTCCCGCAGTAACAAGACTTTCTTGACCATACGACAAGCTTTTGGCCAAGAGTGACCCAGGTGGCAATCTTGGGATTCTGGAAACGCTACGGCTAGAGTGGTGATTAGCCGCCTTACGTCATCCACCCCGATAATTCCACCAACAACCTACGCGTGCTAGCGCCACAGCCATCTCAATTCTACGCGCGCAAACATATTTGAGAGCAACGAAACCGTGCAAGAAGTATGCCAGCATTTTGTCGATGAAACATCGTGAGGTTGGATGATCGAGTCGTTCGCCGGTAGTCAGGGCGGAAGAGTTGCGACCCCACAAATGCCTCGGTGCCCGAGCGGCTCCACCAGCTCCAAGAAATGCGGGGTAAACGTCATAGCAGCGAGAGAGCTGTCGTTGATTATCTAGGGAGACCTTGAAGACGAACTATTCACACGTTGCAAAACCCGCAACTACCATATCAAAAACCGACAAAGCCCGATTGCCGCTTCCTCACGACCATGGCCGACCCGAAGACCTCCACTGCCAGTCAGCGCTTGACGCAGATCAAAGATTTTCTCACTATGAACAAAACAGCAACGACCATACCGTGGGATCCAGATAGTACCAAATTTCCGACAAGGAAAGAACTACCTCAGATCCCCGGTGCCCCACAGGAGGCTGCGTGGGTTTGGGGTGATAACGACTACGTGAGTTCGACCGAACTCTAATCTACTTGCGGGCCGAAACTCATCACATGTAGATCGGCCGTCTCAATCTCCTAACACCTACACGTGTTGCAGCGGCTGCGAGAGAGATACGAACGGGTGAAATCGTACCTGTCAAGTCCGTGTTTTCACGATCCTTCTAATGTGTCGTTGCTGACTGCGAGGTAGCCTGCCTCTCAACGTGCCGAATGTTCCCGCGTTTGGTCGTGAGGTTTTTCAGCATGAGATTAAGACCCTGGCTGAAGGCATTGCCTACGACGATGTGTATCATATGAACACCCAGTCTGGCACGCAATGGGATGGCTTCCGACATTTCGCTCATATTCCCAGTGGTTCGTTCTACAATGGCGTACGTATCGAAACCCATCACAACGAACCTCAGCTGACATCCAGTATAGACCAAAGGAAGCGATGTCACAGGTCCAAACGCAAACCACAAGTGTTCCATCCACCACTGGGCTGAGCACGGCATCGCAGGTCGCGGTATCCTTCTAGATTACCGGGGCTACGCGCACAAGAAGGGCATCAACTACGACCCCTACGACTACTACCCCATCTCATGGCAGGACCTTTATCAGTGCGGCCAAGACCAGGGAATCGATATTCGCCCTGCGGCTCAAGGCGGTGACATCAAGCCTGGAGATATGCTGTTCATCCGCAGCGGATGGAAGGAGGCGTACGACAGCAAGAGTGATGAAGATCGAAGCAAGGCTGCTCTTCGACACGGTAGTGGTAAGGATGGTGAGGATGGTCAGCGGTATGCTGGTGTGAGTCAGGAGGAGAAGATTTTGGATTGGCTGCATGATAGCTACTTTGCGTCTGTCGCTGGTGATGCGCCTGCATTTGAGGCGTGGCCGACACATGAGAGTACGTTGCTAGAAGAAGCCATCACGCTATAGAGACTAATATCGGCAGGCTACCACCTCCACGAGTACATCCTCGCTCTTTGGGGCATGCCGCTCGGCGAGATGCTGGATCTCGAAAAGCTTGCGCAAACGTGCCGTGAGAAGAACAGATGGTTCTTCTTCTTCACCTCTGCGCCTGCTAACTGCCAAGGTACGTTGAATACCCGGATTGTTAAGCTCTTGCAACCGCTAACAGCATCATAGGCGGAGTAAGCTCACACGTCAACGGTACTGCCATCTTCTGAGCAATTCGAAAGTGTCTAAAGACCGCGTTCAAACCATATACATTGTTGTAAACAGCTAGCAATCTAACAGCCAATTTCACACATTCTGTCTTGTGTGACCAACACGCGCTCTCTACCTAGGTAACCAAGACTAGACCAGGCACGCAGAATCCAAACATGCCAGCTACGCGGCATCAGCCTTATCCAAACTACCAGATCTCGACTCCGGAAATGATCCAGGGCATGTTCTGCGCTCTCTTCGGCGTGGACTCTCCCCTGAGACGGTCCGTGCGTTCGCGTCTGAGTCTCGCGGCATGGCAGGTGCGCTCAACGCGGTTGACTCACTATCCCCTTCGATCTTCACAGCCTGCATCGCGACGTCAAACAACGAGAACTGGATATGCTGATTCCTCAAAAGTGCCCCGTAGGTCTGGTCGCTTTCAACAGCGCTGTCGTCGCGTCTGACGCGTGCGCTTGGCGATGGCGGCATCGGCGGTGGTGAGCGTGTTGGTGGCGCAAACTTCACCTCGTCGACGGGGCCGTCAGCTTGCGCCGTGCCGAACATTGACGACGAGGAGGATTTCGCGTTGAGGCGATTCTTTGCATCGATATCCTCCTGCACATCAAGCCCATCTGAGTGTTCCACTTCTTGCACTTCTCTTGAGGGTTCAATCCGGTCATCGAAAGCAGGCAAAGAAGCATCACTTCCGTCGCGCAGCCTCCTGTGTTGCTCAAGTCTTCGCCCCTCCCAATCAACTACCACAATGCCGCATTCGATAGAATCTGCAGCGACCTGCTCAGCTTCTCGAGTTGCCTTGTCGCGACGATACTTGTAGCGTTGTTGTCTTTTTGTTTCCTCAGGTGCAATTATCTGCTTGTAGCACTCCTCGGATTTCGCATGCGTATGATACTGACATTTCAGCAGCGGTGGCGACCTTTTGTCGCATGAGAGGCGTCGCATAGCTGTCTCAAGCGCGGAACAGAGGAAAGGCTGCGGTAAGTCCGATGGGTCGACGTCGCCGAATCCATCTGTCGCGTTGTCAACCCATCGGTCGACTAGAAAGCGACATAGAGCTTTCGGCATGTTGTGTCTTTTCTCGCCAAATACGTGCGAGATGGTATCGATATCCGGTCGTACGCCCTTCAGTATCTTCTCTTCGAGCAGGTCCATGACGCGGTCAACGAATTCGACATCATCTATCACGTAGCCTTGTATCGCTGCGTTGACCAAAGGCCAACACGCGATCCATGTGTGCTGCGGATTGATACCGTCGGGGTCGAAGTTGACGTCGCGATAACGGGTTGGAATAACACCGGTGCGCCGCCATAGTTGGTGCAGTTCCGCTGCATCAGCGTCAATGTTACGGCGTCTGAGCAGAGTGCTCGTGTCGAATTCGGTATCAACGTTGACAGCAGACAACCGGGCTAAGCGCCGTGTCAAGTACCAGGAATCCGGGTTCTGACGGCCATATAGTACACTGATCATCGACTGTCTCGGTGCATCCACAGCCACATCTGGTATTGGCGGTGCCAACCGTCGCTGTTGTGTGTTGGATGACTCTTCCTTCACAAGTTCTGACTGTACGAGTTCTTGCACGTCCGTGTCAACATCATCGATGACTTCATCGTCACTCCACAGGCTCCCGCCTTCAAGCAGCGTATGATAATCGCTCTTTCTTGTGCGTGCCTCGATGCTTGGCCGTCGGCGAAACTTGCGACCCGTATCGCTGATATGGTCACTTCCATCGAAAATGCGGTCGACGTTCCTAGGTTCCTGGCTTCTTGGACTATCCGGGACACTGCTACGGGATTGCGACGATCGTGGTGTTCCGTGGTGTAGGTAGTTTTCTGGATTGACTCCTGGAAAGCCTGTTGGTATACGCGGAGGCATGCTGCCGCGCTCGAGCCTCCTTTGGATATCGCGCTTTTCTGAGGAGGACATCTTGTCGGTAAAGGGGTTTCCCATGTCGAAGAGTGAAGCCAGTCACAATCTTCCAAGGGTGCGCAGTGGTGTGGTGATCAGTGTCCAACCAGGAAGCAAGGCTTTGTAAGTTGTCAGTATCGAAGGACAGGGTTTGGTCGTATTGAGCAGCCTTCGTGTGAAGCGCGCGGCTGTTTGTCATCGGCAGGTTCGTGACGTTACTACCAGCAAACGAACGCTCACGTTGACCGCTGATGTCACCGCCCGCCTGGTCATGACTGGAAGTGATTCAGAAGCGAAGTATGAGCACGCCTCACTCGTGAGCATCCTTCCATTACAATTAGTTGTAAAATTACGAAAAAGACGCCAAGTACGAAGCCCGCTCATTATGTCCCTATTATCTTCGCGATATCATATCGCTTCGCATGTATACAACGCTCTCGCAGCGCGAGGCCACCATGTCTTTGGCTAGGCCATCTTTGAAGTCGATCACGTTCGTACTCGCAGGTCGTACAACCCTCTCGGAGCACTGCCCCACAGAACACATCGAAGTTGACTACGCTATAGCCGAACGCTCACCGTACCTTCGCATCTACCTTCCACAGCAAGTACGCGATGACCGACCTCTGCTGCCGATTCAACTTGGAGATATAGATCCGGCAGGCTTCAAGATCTACATCGAGTGGCTCACAACCGGCATTGTCAAGTTCTCTGATCAAAGATCCCTCCGGCTGGACTCCTGTATCGACCTCATATACGCACACATAGTTGGCTCTGCATTCTCGCAACCGAACTTCCAAGACTACATCATCGACAAGCTAGCTTCTATTCTTGACCCCGCGCAAACGTTCGACCAAAAGATTCTGGAGATGTTGTATTTGGAGAAACACGCATCGACACTACTGCGGAAGTTCACTACCGATAGGATGTTCGCGTATGACAGGAGGATGCTAGGTATGCTACGAAATTCTGTGGAGGACATTGTGACGGGGAGTAGTGACGTGAAGGGGTGCGAATATCATATACATGATGACGGAGTGTGTTATAGGCATGGAAGGGCGTGTGAGTCTGAAGAGGTGGAAAGAGGTAACGACCTAGGAGGGAAGAAGTGGAGTATCGATGATGATCCGGAACTCAATGCTATGGCAGCGCAGTATCTGGGTAAAACAAGAATACCTTCGACAATAGACAAGTCATCGAGGATTCCCGCCACCAAGCACCGTTCATCTACGGAAAAGCGTCAACCTCAGGCCAACAAGCTCGCACCGCAACTCAGAATCTTATCCTTACATACCATGACCGATCGAAATATTCAGCATCAAGGATCTACCATACGATCTCGAAATCTGCGGAGTCCCCGGCCTTCAACGAGATCGTCAACTCCAGACATAGATGTTGACAAACCCCTACCACCCACACCAGAGATATCGCAAGCGCCCAGCACCAAAGATCTAGTCCTCGAATGTTTAGGTCGTCTTCCGCCAGCACCAGAACAAGTCTCAGCACGAGAACTCCACGAAGAATGTCTCGAGCGCACACCTTCTCCTCATGTCAGAACCACTAATCCCACAGACGATACCGACTCCCAGCGTTCAGTCAAGACATCAAGACGCCCATCACCTCAACCGCGGTCTTGTTCACGTCCATCTCCACCCACCCCATCAGCTTCTCGCCCTTCTTCACCATTAGATCTCATACCCCCCTCCCTCCGCCCCGGCACCCCGCTACCATCCACGCACCCAACACGCAATTTAACCTTTGCGCCCTTTCCAAAATCACACCGCACAACACCTAGGCCGCGGCCTCAAACCCCAAGGCCTGACACATCCTATACTACCACGCCACTTGCTCCATATACGCCCAGGTCATCTACTCCATCAACCCGTCCCTCACTATCCTCATCGCTATACCATCACAGGTCACCCACTCCAGCACCGAGCCCTTCACCTTCACCATCACCATCGCCATCACCCTCCCCATCACCCTCCCCACCACCCTCCCCACCACCCTTCCTCCAACGCCCCTACCACATATCCCCCTCCTCCCCCTCCCTCCCCCATTTCGCTCCGCTGATAAAACGCAAGCCCGCACCACCACGAGGCGTAGATTGGCTAGAGCAATGGGACCGGCTTTTCGAACTGCAAGGTACACAAGGGTTTGGATTGAGAAGGGCAGAGAAGAAAGAGAGGAGGAGTCGATTTATGGAGATACTGGAGAGCGTGGGGAGGGAAGGGAGCGTGAAGGTGGATGGGAAAATGCGTTGAGCGGAAATGGGAATGGGTGCGAGGGTGCGTGGGTTGTAGTATGGAGGCTGTGAGGAGGAGGAGGTGGAAACTGTGACTTTGCTACCGGGATGTGTGTCAAAATGAGCGTGTAAGAGCAACTGGGTATTACCAAAGCGTTGCCTAAGTTTAAGCCCTCTACTAATATAAAAGTTACCTCAGCACAAGAGCCAATACAACGTATCCTTAGCTAGCTAGAGGGGTTTTTGCTATGCCTCGCGACGCAGCACGGCTCACGCGGCAAGGTAGCCCTCCTCATAGAAATCAGGCCACAACAACCGCATCACCATCGTACGTGGGGCTATTGTTATTACCTGATCCCTATGAGGAGAGCTACCCCACCTGCCAGAGTATACATATGACAGTTATCTATCTATCTAAGCTTTACCCAAGCCCTTCCCTTCATCGTCACTCTCCCGCTCAACAGTCGCTTCGACATGCTCCGTCATGAGATGTTTGATACCCTTCATCGAGATCACGGCGATGGTCGCAAGCGCAACGAACGGCACGACACTCCAATAACCCAGTCTGTAAGCACGCGCGTAGGACCAATGGCTCGCGTCCCACGCAGCAGTTATGATAGTTTCGTTCGCGCCAGGTACACCGGCACCTCTAAACTTAGATGCCGAGCTACCTTTCATGCCTTTCAGAAGCGCAGGGACAGAGGACTCAGGGAGCCCGGCAGCGATGGCGGCAGAGCTGACGTCGCCGGCGAGGTGAGAAGCGACGCGCGAGTTTACAATGGCGTAGATGACGGCAGTGCCGAAAGCGCCGCCAATGGCTCGGGCGGAGAAGGCGAGGCCGGTGGCTGTAGAGAGGAAGGCGTGGGGGGCTGTGAATTGGATACATGCGACTAGGAGTGTGAGCGGGCCTGCGCAACCGATACCTGTCAAGGCTGTGAAGATGATTTGCTCGGTGGCCCAGCCGGGGCGGATGAATGCGAAGCAGATTGATGCGATGAACATTATGGCGAAGGTGGCGGCCAGCGGTGTTTCTGTTTATGGTGTGAGTGGAAGGTGTGAAGAAGAATGCCATGTTGCTTACTCATGTCTTTGAATTTTGTCGCGTACCATGTCACGGCAAGAGATGTGAAGATAGATGCGATCTTGTAGGACAGCTGCCGAATGGCAATATCCCATGCGTTATCTTCGAAACCGACGTTGAGAATGAGCTGTGGTGTAACGGCGTTGATGGCAGAATAATAGATCCATCCCTCGATAGCAAAGGCGAAAGTTGAAAGCCAGAAATTGGGTCCAGTGGAGAAGAAGACATGCGCGACAATGCCATCAGATCGGCCCTTCCATTCTGTACCATGTCAGCTTCTGAGTCGGAACTTTCGAGGGGATAATCGTTACCATAGAGACAGAAGGCAATGAAGAGAACAATGCCGACAACAAGGTTGGCGCATACGTGCGGATTGCTCCACGGGTACGCGCCACCTGCCCAGTTGAGCGCCAAAAGCATCAAAGTGGCAGCAGCAACAAGAAGGAGGGAGCCGATAGGATCGCAAGCCCACATCCACTCTTTGAAGCTCATCCGCGGATAGTCGGTGCGTTTCTTTGGCCAGTAGAATGCGAATAGACCAAGCGATGTGATGCCGTGTAGGCCGACTTGGATCCAGAAGATGTAGCGCCAGCCGGAAGCACTTAGGTTGGTGACCGCACCGGCTGCGAGACTACCGACGCTGTGCATAGTCAGTACCTGTAAAATGCATCGACTTACGCGAGGTGTCTACTTACGTCCCGCCCAACACGCCGGCAACGCCTGCAAGTCCGTTCGCCAAAGGTCGATACTTCAAAGGCAGAATCTCGGATGGGATAGACTGAACGATGGAGATGGTCGCAAGCGTCGTGCCGATGAGAATACCGCCTCCGATCAACATCGACATACTCGTAGCCTTGGCACAGATGATGGAACCAATGCATGCGATCAGTGGAGGTATGGTGGCGAAGAGCTTGCGATCCAAGACATCAGACAGGCGACCGACGGGAGGAGAAAGGACTGATTGCATGAGTAGCGGGCCCTATAGAATGTTAAAAACTCGGTGCTAAAGTCTTTTTTTAGGCCTGCTGTACCTGGATGATCCAGCTTGCAATGGCAGGTTCTCCAAGCTCGCGGATGATGAACGACAGTACTGATCCCGCAGCCACTACAACGAAGACTTGAGACATGACGCTACATTGTAAGTTAGCAAGGCCACGCAAAAGACTGCGCGCCACTCACGCGAAGCAACAGCAAAAGACGACCATCCACGACCTCCATGAGAGCTTGACATGATGGACGTCCTCATTGGCTTCCTGGTCGATGGGCACGATGTGGGCGTCGCGACCGTGGGCGGTTTCGATATGAGTAGCTCCCGTCTTGCTGTCCATGGCTGTCTACACCGGCTGCCAAGTTAGGTCGAGAAAGAAGACAAGGTGGGCGAGGTCTGCATCCCATATCACTAGACATATACTGCAGTGGGGCACCATGCCGTGGGCTCTTGGCCGGGGCATTCTGACAACGGGATGAGCAGTAGCGGGCTTGAGCTACAACGCCATGCATATCGGCAGATTTGGATGCTGGGGTTGAGGTCCTCTCACGACGCGTTTGGATGATGTTTACCGAATCATCGGGAGGAGATGATGCGGGGCCCCATATTGGGTGAAGATTGGCGCTCCTTCGCTGCAACGTGATGCGGGGAGGCGCGCCCACGAGTCGGGAGCTGCGCGCCTTACCCCGAGACACCTTCTACTCTTTCCTTCTCACTTCATGGGTGAAGATTGATCGCGACATGTTGCTGCTGTATGATGAGGGCTGGTGAGGAGCGAGGAGGTGATGGTGATGAAAGAGGAAGGGTCAACCGGAGTTAAGCAGGCTCGCCCCGCTGGACCCTGAGACTTTTGTTGTCTTTGCGCAGGCTTCACGCTCCCACCGACCAACATCCCACCGCCAGCCTCTTAGCCAACGCCTATACGACGCATAGTAGCCTTTTAGCTGCCCTCACCACTGACTCCCCCGCCAGGCGATGCTATGAGCAGCCCACCGCCTCTCGCAGGCCATCTGGTCCCCCTCCGCACCAAGGACGAGGTGCGCGCCAGCCTGGAGACGCACACCGTCTATGTCGTCGAGGTGCCGGCCAAGTTTGCCAACGTTATCAAGGAGTGAGGCCTTCACTCCTGGGGCTCCAGCTTGATCTCTGCTAACGTCGCCCGCTCGCAGTGCCGTGCAAGCAGCGTTACCCGACTTCAAGACGTCGGAGATCTCTCACCTGCGCCGTGTGGTGCAGTTCAAGTACCTGCCGCCGCACCTGCAGAAACAGTTCTATCCGCCTGCAAGGCTCCCCAGGGGTAACGAAGATGCTCCTGCCTCAGAACTACCATCTTCCCCACTAACACCGGCGACCCCCGCTTCCCCTTCCGCGTCCCCGTCCTCAGTCGATGCTGGCAGTGAGGCTGCTCATGGAGAGGCTGATGCTAAAGATTTTGATCTAGTCCGCTACTTCCTGCTGTGTCCCACGCGCCATATGCCCCACGCCAACCTCGCGGCTCTCATACGGACCTGCCCGCCTTTCGACGGCCCCAAGACTGCGCTTCCTCGGATCCTCTACGTAACCGTGCCGGCCCTGGCGCCCATATCCCAGCAGCAGGCCGACGACTGGAGCGACAAGTACTGGCCCATCTCGTACAAGAACACCAACCCCTACGGTCCCCATCCGAGCCTCGTACAACGCAACCAGGAGGAACTACAACCCGAGGCAGGAAACTGGCTGGCTCTCGCCCGAGCCGCCGGCCAGCAGATATCGGATCAGTGTCTGGGTGAGAAGATCGGCGTCGTCGTGGTTGACCGCACCAGGAACCAGCCCGAGATTGTCGCGGTTGCAGGCGACTGCCGCTGGAGGTCCTTCACCGGCACCGCTGAACCGCCCACCGGCACTGGCAACGTCATGGCTCACGCTGTCCACCGCGCCATTGCTATGGTTGCGAAGAAGCGGCTACGTGCTGCCGGCACTGACCCTGCACTTCTCGACCGCTCCCTCTTCTGCGACAACCCCCTCACCGGTCTCGAGAAGCTATACTACGAAAAGAACAACCTCTCATCCAGCGGCTACTTGTGCGTAGATCTCGACATCTACCTCACCAACGAGCCCTGCGTCATGTGCTCCATGGCCATCCTACACTCGCGCTTCCGGCGCTGCATCTTCGGCAAGCGCATGCCTCACACCGGCGGCATAACAGCAGACGGACCGGGCGACTCTTCCTCAGCAGGCAGCGGACTGAAGAAAGGCCTCTTCTGGCGACCGAGCGAGCTCAACTGGAAGTTCCTGGCCTGGGAGTTCAACGAGGAGGGCAAGACTGCGGATGCCGACAGTGGCTTCAAGGAGACACTGCATGCATAAACGCGTGCCATCACGCTTGACCTGCATTGGATACAAAGCATAGACACGGCGTATTGGATTAACACTGTCGATGGTAATGGGATTATAGGGGATGATTATACCAACATGAGTAACGTGAATACGGGGTTACGAAGGAAGCATCTGTACGATAGCAAATGAAATGAAACGTTCGCATATGATCTCACTCGTCGACCGCACTTGGGTTTGGTGATCTTCTCCTCATATCATGAACTACTAACGGCTTGTAGAGCCATTCTCGAAGATTCTTAACCGACTGCTTCAGTAGCAGATAGTTCGCTGTCATTACCAAGAACGCTGGCACTTTGTTCCTTTGACATGATGTTTCCGTACTCCTCGTTAGACATGTAGTTTTTGTCTGACGCCTTTTCGTTCACATACCACAGTTCATGGAGAGCAAAACCGAGCTTCAGGTCGGCACCGCGCTCCACAAGATACTGTACAACAGTCGGCATGCCAGACCGTTGGGCGCCCCCCAACGCGGATCGCGATGGGGAACTGAAACCCGTCGAGTGATTGATGTCGGCACCCGCATCAAGCAGGAGTTTAGCTCTGTCAATAGTACCAGGATGCCAGTCGTGCGTGCACCACATGAGTAGAGATTTGCGGTCGTAGCGCCACATAATGTTGGGATCAGCACCAGCTCCGAGCAGCATTCCCATCATCTCAACGCCCCGCCGAGTTGCGAGTGTGTAAAACAACGGGGGGCAATTGTCGTCTGCATGTTCATTGACATCCGCACCAGCATCAATGAAGAGCTTGACTATATCGACAGAGTTACTTACGATGGCGGTGCTAAGCAGCGACTTCTGTGACTTGCGTTCCAGGAAATTTGCGGCATCAGTCGTGCGAAGCGGTTGGTAGGATGTTGACCAGACAGTAGATGATATATCAGCCTTGGCCTCGAGTAACACCTTAACAATTTCGGTCTTGCCATTAATGATAGCGTGATGTAGAGGTGTCGCATTTTTGGCATCCCGCGAGTCCACCGTGGCACCATGATTGAGGAGAGTCTTGACAATGCTGATATGACCTTGCCTCGCCGCGAAGTGTAGCGCGGTTGACCCTGGGTAGACATTAGAATGCCTACGTCTGGAGTCGTCGAAATCATCAGATTTCATATCCAGAGAGAAGTCATACTTGAGTAAGAGGTTCACGATAGCCTCGTACCCGTCTTTTGCAGCAAGTTGAAGAGCAGTCCGACCTAACGTATCTTTCGCATGTACATCGAAACCTAGCTGGAGCAGCGCCGCAGTAGCGGCTTCTAGCTGGAACCCAACTGCTGCATGAAGCCCAGTGAATCGAGCTTGTCGATTCACGAGATGATCTCGTGTGGTGAGCTCTGTCCGTCCCTTTGTATAGAAGGAACTATGGATGAGATTGCCTTGCCGCGTGAGAAAGTTGACCACTTGCGTCACGCACGACGGCGCTAGGCGAGCATGATGGCTCCAATGACGTGCCGAGTATTCGTACCATTTGGGGACCTGTGGACGACAATTGTAGGGGTAGGCCCACCAATCTAGAGACAGATAAGAAGTACAGACATTCGTTATCATGGCTTGCGCGTCCGGGAACCATCGATCCAGTGTGCGCTCAAGGTATTCTTGTGTTGTATAGTGGACAAGTCGAATGATGCCACTGTCCTCATCCACGGTGATTAACCCAACGCATGCAGCTAGAATATCCTTGATATCTGGATAGTTATCTAGATCAAGCTCTGGCTCGCCAACCTCTACGCCTAGAGCTTCTCGTAGCTCACCTGTAGAGAGCGGTCTTCGGGCGCAGGTGAGAAACGCCAGTGCTTGCTTAGCAAGCTCAACTTGGTCAGCGACTTGGCTCTCAATTCTTCTCATGGCAGCATCGTATGCAGAATCGTAAGCATCGGATCCGGTAGCAAGTTCGTTCAATGCGAATTTCACCTTTTTCGCGGATCTTTTCCCGATCAGAGAATCAAGGTGCAGCTTGGCTAAGAGAAACCTGACGTCTCATTAGTAGATTTACAACCCTAGGAGGAAGCGACACACATTCCGCGCACCGCCTCAACGATCTTTGACACAATTTCTTCCCGCAAGCCGACATTATCTTGCACAAAACTTGGTAGGCGAGATATATTGTCAGAGAGATATCTTCGCACGTCGTTGCTGTCTGCTTGAATCTCCAGCTGACAGGCTGATTTGAACTTCTCGGTGATCTCTGGGATGAATCGAGACGTGGCAAGTATGTTGATGTGACATTGCTTTTGTAAGCTCTGGATATTTGACAGCAGCCTTGTACGGCAGCCATGAGACGTAGAACATTCATCAAGCGCATCTATTACGATGAACACTCGTGAGTATGATTCCATGACTGACTTCAGCGTCCCCATGGTAGCTTCGATTCGACCTGGCGCTCCATTCTGTTGTTGTTCCTCGTACAGATCATTTACGCACCCTGGCAAAGGAACCTGACGTTCAACGAGCTGTTTGAGTAGACCTGATAGTAGGGCTTCTAATGTCTGCTCGTTGTGACGTCTGTAGTTGCAGAAAAGATGAGCCAAGCCAACTGTAGGGTCATGGTGATAACGCTCCCATAGATCAGCGTTGATGATTGAGGCGAAGACCGTTTTGCCAGCACCTGGAATACCAGGGCAGAACAAGGTACGACTGTCGGTACTGAGCCAGTCTTGGTAGGTCTGTGAACGCAGCAGCCATTCACCGGTACCTTTTTGCCGCTGACTGATGGCGTCATGCTGCTCCGAAGCGTGATCGATGGGTGTGAGCCAGTCAAGGATGCGCTGACGTTTTCTCAAAGCTTCCTCGGTATCTTGACGCCCATGCAGCTCCTCAACTCTTCCTCGAACGTCCTGTTGTGTAGATTGGATTGATTCCAGCTCGCCGTTGATGCTCCGCAATGTCAGGTGGGTTTCCCGGATGCGTGAATCCAAAGTACTCTTCAGGTCGACGAGATGCTTTTGATTGCGCTTTGAGCAAGCGCTAATCTTGACGAGTAACGATGTTGTGGTGTAATTGAGAGCAAGAGTCACCATCGACATTCCAGACTCTATTGCCTCAATCATTTTTTCGACATCCTTCTCTTTGAATGGCCACCGCAAATTCTCACGCAACCCATCTCGCGGGGATAACGCAGCGGCTGCTAGACGCAGTGCATCTTGAAGGTGCGCAAGAGGAGTCGAAAGTAGATTCAAGATTTTGTCCCATTCCTCGGCATTCTCAGGGTCATCCGTTTCATCTTGCAACTTGTTTAACAAGCTGCTGCAGTCTCGTATCTGTGTACGAAGGCGCTGTTTCTCGTGTTTGGCTCCAGAAACAGCAATGATATACTTGATCACCGTCTCGCACAGCTGGACCACTGCTATGATGCTTGCAGCTGTCTCCATGTGAGCTTTGAATGATGTTCAGTGTACTGCGATCAGTGCGAGGAGGAAGACGAGGTGCGGGGTTCATCGCATCTCGGATCAAGTGAGCATGTGAGGCGGGGCTGTGCCACATTGCTGCTGCAGGCAGCGGACTTGCCGTTCCCCATGGCGATACGCGGGGTGACGTAGAGGCGGCGCTGTCATTCGTTGATCAATCTACGTGCAGATGGATCGGACCATCTTTGCGGAAGCGAGCGTCGAGTCCATTACCTTGTATGCGATGTGACGACGGAGGATGTGGGTGAAAGCAAGGAGTTGGAAGTCGCGGACGATGCACGTGCACTCGCGTTCGGCGTCAAGCTAGCGCGACTTCCTCAACCCTCAATCCGCCAGCGGTTACAAACATCCAAAACGACATCGCGATAATGTTGCCCGACGAGATCATCGCGCAGCTCACTGCGGAGTTCCAATGCCGTGACCAACAGATACACCACCTGGCAGCCCTCTACAGCGTCCGTACCCATGCCAGACTTCAGCGTCATTGTACTAACAGCAACCTAGGCGCATCTCCCATCTCCACCCTTTCTGAACATCCATGGCCTTACCGCGACTGGCAAATCCTCCATATTGCGCTCCTTCTTTCATCTCTCTCGTATACAGCACACGATCATCAACGTTCGCGAATGCATAACCGCGCGGCATCTCCTGGAGCGCATCGTCGCAGCTAGTCTGGATGCGCTGGATGAGTTTAACGACGAGAAGATTGATAGGAGACCGTACGCGCGTACGGAGAATCTAAGCGCGCTATGTGTCAACATGGAGAAGCTGTTGGCGGGCCGGGGCAAGTTTGTGTTAGTACTCGATGCGGTGGATAAGTTGAGGGAAGGGGGTGGAACGTTAATCGCGGCCTTGGGAAGACTGGGAGAGATGGTATGCCATACTATATGCAAATTCAGATGCCAGATGCTAACAGTGCGAACAGATACCAACCCTCTCCCTCATCCTCACAACAACCCTCCCCCTCACGCCCTCCGTCCTCCACTCGTCATCAGCCTCCTTCCTGCACTTCCCATCCTACACGCGCAGCGAGCTCCTCACAATTCTCGGCATCAACCCACCAAAGATCTTCCTTGAACCGCCCTCCCTCGAGCAATTCCCAGACTACACACCCGACCTCGCAGCCGAAGACGACCAGTGGCTCTGGGGCCGCTTCATCCAAGCCGTCTACGATTCTCTCGCGAAACACACTGGACGAGACCTGATAAGTTTCAAAAGCTGCGCAATGCGCCTCTGGCGTCCGTTCGTCGAGCCCGTGGTATCTGGACAATTCGGCACGCGCGACTTCTCGCGCTTGATGGTAAACAGAAGGCATCTGTTCCAGCTAGAAGACTCAGTTTTGGATCGCATCATCTCAGACATGGCCGAACCGGTGAAAGAAGCAGCACCAGCAGGCGCCACGCCAGCGACGCCAAGCAAGAAGAAGCCAGCGAACATGACGGCGCACACCCTTCCATACTTCACGACCCACATCCTCCTCGCCGCGTACCTAGCGTCCTACAACCCCTCGCGTACCGACGTCACATACTTCATGAAGCACACCGACAAGCGGAAGAACAAGCGACGCGCACCCAGTGCTGCGTCTTTCAGCGTCACGGGCAAGCGCACGGGAGCTAAGCACCGGAAGATCAGTCGGCATCTGTTGACGCCCAGCCCGTTCACTCTGGACAGGTTGCTGGCGATCTTCAGAGCGTTGCTTGAAGGAACGGTACCACAGGTAGCGGATTTATACACACAGATAGCCACACTGACGAGCTTGCGATTACTCGTCAGAGCCGGAGGAGCAGGAAGCAACGACGCATTAGAAGGCGGAGGACGATGGCGCGTAAACTTTGGTTGGGAATATGCACGCGCGCTGGGCAGAAGCGTGAATCTGGAAGTAGGCGAATATCTTGTTGGTGGTGTAGACTAGGCCTTCAATCCATTTTGTACACTCCAACACCTGGCCAAGTGTATGTAGAGGACATCTAAGAACTACAGCTACACTGCAACATACCCTTATACTTCGGCACATCACCACAGAACCTCTCTTCCTCCTCTGCGTTCCACTCCCAGCTTTCCTGGAAGGGATTAAGCGCAAGTTTCATGATTTGAGGTAGGATCTCGCGTTCGTGTTTCTTTTCCACGCGCTCGATGAGTTCGTCTAGGATCCAGGAGCGGGGGATGAACTGTTGTATCGTTAGCATCTCATCTCTCATAGACCGAACAACTGATAAAGGGAAAACTTACGTTAGGATTAACAGCATCCATAGCAACCTTCCTCTCCTCATCCATCCCCTCCCCCCAATCCTCCTTCACCCTCTGCGACCATTTCTCCAACCACTTCCCAATCCGCTCCCGCCCATCGCTCTCCTGCCTCGGCGCGTCGTTGTTACGGAAGAACCTGCCCGCAACATCTTTCCTCTGATCCTCCGTCTCCACTTCACTCAACTTCACATTGCCCAACCGCCTAAACGCATGATGGAAATCCAGTTCATACATCTGCAGGGTATCCAGCAACTCAGACATCAGATCCTCGAAATCACTCTCCTTCTGCGTCTTCAGTCCGAGACGAAGCGTCATGAGACGGCGGTACTCAGCGAGGAAAACGGCTTTGTACTCCTCGCCTGCGCGGTCGATGGCTGATTCACCGCATTTGACTATGCCGTCTGCTTCTTCTTCTGTTACACCCTTTTCGACGAACTGGGCTTCGTCGACTTTGCTGCCCGCGCCCATGAGCTCGCCGAGGGCTTCACCGAGACGGACGAGGTTCCACCAGATGATTGTGGGTTGGTTGCGGTAGCTGTAGCGCAGCATGTGGTCGTCGTGGTTGGGCGTGTAGGTGGGGTCGAAGGTATCGAGGAAGGCGAAGGGACCGAAGTCGATGGATAGACCGAGGATGGACGTGTTGTCTGTGTTTAGCACGCCGTTCATGAAGCCGTAGGCTTGCCATTTCGCGACGGTTTCGGCGTTGCGGCGGAGGATGGCGCGGTAGAGGCGGACGTAGCGGTTTTCTTCGCCTTCGTTCTCGCCTTCGACGGTTTCTTTGGGGATGCCGGTGTGGGTCTGGGAGTGGACTTCTTTGGCTTCGCCGGCGGGGAGCTTGGAGGGGAGCTTGTCCCAGCCGCCGTAGACGTGCTCGGCTGTGTAGTCTGCGATTGTGCGGAGGGTCTTGCGGTCTCCGCGGATGCGTTGAAGGTCGAATGTGCCAAAGCGAATCCAGCTCTGCGCGAATCGCGTGACTATTGCGCCGGGCTCTGTGCGTTCGCGCATGACCTTGCTTCCGTTGTTCAGGGTGAGCGCTAGCGCTCTTGTACTGGGGATGCCAATGGCATTGAGATATTCCGATACGACGAACTCTCGGATAGAAGATCGCAGTACGGCGCGGCCATCGGCGAAGCGGGAGTATGGTGTCCGTCCAGCGCCCTTCAACTGGATCTCATATCGAGTGCCGGTCGCTGGGTTGGTAGACTCAAACAAAGAGATAGCGCGTCCATCACCAAGTTGGCCTGCCCATTGTCCGAACTGATAGCCTCCATAGCATTGTGCCCAAGGGTATATTCCAGCTTCCGGGTTCGACTCGTCCCATGTCAGGATCTTCTTTCCAGCGACGACTTCCTTGAATTCATCCGTCTTGGCCTCCTCTTCCTTAAGACCAATGTCCTGCATCGCTCGCTGACTGACAGCTAACAGCTCTGGCTCTCCCTGCGAGTCAGGCCGAACATATGTGTATAGTGCTCCCTTGACCATGCGCGGTCCGAGCATTTGCCGTGGCGCATCGTGGGAGTCTTTCGGTCTGGGGAAGGCGTCATCGGCGGGAAGGTTGGACGTGAAGACGTTGGATTTAGGAAGCGACTGCAGCGTTTGCAGTTCATTGGACGAGTTGCTCGCCGTCTGTGGGATATCGAGGTGCGCCATGACTTGATTGAGGCGCAAAAAAGTGTGGAAGGGGTTCTTGCAGATGTATTTTGTCGACGATATCGCTTTCCTGGTAGGCTGCAGCGCAGTGGAGATTCGAAGCATGAGCTGCTAAGGGTATCAGGTGGTGTAGGAGGGAGGGGCAATGAGGGGAAGATGGCGGCGCATGTAGGCGCATTCGATGCTGATCACAGTGATGCGAACGTTATGGGGCGGTGGCGTCATGCCTCGGACGAGCGGGCTTATCGATAAGGCAGTCGTGAAAACATCAGAACGTCGCGGTGCCTGACTCGCGCGTTTCTCTTCTGAACTAAATCGCGGACGCGTCGACATCTCCGCCAATCAGCACATCCTTCTTCACGCAACGCATACCTTCCCTCCTTGATATTTGAGACCAACGCTGCCCTCCACACTATCAGGGTCGCAGGATGAACGGCCAGCCAATACCCGGCTACTTCTGGGACGCAGAGAAGAAGAAATACTTCAGGATCCAAAACCAAACCGCAGCTCAGGGATCAAATCTCAAATACTCTTCAGCAAACATCAAGAAGACAGAAAGAAAAGCGCGCATCCAGAATGTCGCACTCGCGCGTTCCAATAAGCTTAAAAAGGAGCGAGTCATCAGGCGCAACCCGAACAGCTTTGCTCAGACAAACATCGATAGAGAAATAGGCCTTAGAAGACGGTCACGCTATATACATGGTCTTTGGCCTGACGCATGCGCAGCCGGTATTGAACAACGTCCCGAAAAGGTGCTACCGCCCTGTGGACTCCGACTCTTTGCCAAGGATCCAGTACATCATACGATATACACGGTTCAAGGTGAGAACAGTGTGCACATGCAGCCTGCATATCGCGGAGATCTCTACACCTCAATAGCAGAGCAGGACTTTGTATCCGCTCCATCTGCCCTAGAGAGTATTTATCGGCATTATCCACGAGACGAGGTAACGCGAACGACGTCTACTGTCTCTTCGTTGTCCTTTCTACCAGCAACCGGCGCGCTTGCGGTAACGACATATGGGTCGGATCGACCGCCAGAGGTATGGCTCAGCGACCCGGGACGCGATGATCCTGTAAGTCTTCCGCAAACTTGTAACCCCACGCACGTAATCTGCTCGATGATGAACGGCCATGTTCCATTTCACATTCGACAGACCGAATGATTTGAGTTACTCAGCAGCCATGTAGCACAACTCAGAACGAACGAGCTTTTCTACTCACTCCCACATCATTTCAATCACTTCACAAGACTTTTGCATCGTCCGAGACTCTCACGCTGACCCTTAGTGACACAGTACGTAGGGCAAAAATTTACACCGAAAGACTGTTCAGCTATCTGGGGTGCTGCTGCCAGACCAACTACGTTCACGGCATCACCGGGTCTTGCAAATAGTGTTGCAGCGACCTGGACCGAGCACCTCGCAGTTGCAGCCTCAAGTTCGATGCTACTATTCACTCGCTCACAGGGAGGTACGTGGGACTCTCAAGCTGTAGTAAAGTCACTTGAATCGGATCTTTTGGCCTTGGAGTGGATATCGTATACTACTGTCGCGCTCGGCTGTCGAGATGGAACCATCCGACTATACGACACAAGATCAAGCGGCTCAAGTCACGTCTTGACACATCCCGCGCCCATCTCAAAGCTCAAGCGTGCCGATGACGAGACTAGGTTGATATGCTCTGGGCTTAACGACACACTTTTTCTATACGACATTCGCTCACCTCGCTTATCTCGGAACTCATCGCGAAAGACGTTCAATTATGACAACCATCACTACAATGAAGAGTACTTCAAGACCTTGTATCCGACTCATCGCGATAGTCACAAACGCCGCAAGCTCAACCACAAAGCTTTCAAGAACTGGTCGCAGCCAGTCATGACTTTTGCCCACCTGAACAGAGACGAGCTGGAACTGGACATCGATGTACATCCAAGACTCGGACTCTTAGCGGCAGCCCAAGACACAACGGAAGGTACAGTGATCCGGATTAGCAACATCTGGACGGGTAAATCTGTTAAGGAGATTGATCCAGGCAGCACGCACCAGGCCAAAATCCGCTCACTCAAATTCATTGAAAGCGGTTCTGACGGCAATGTTGACCTTTGGTCGTGTTGGGGTGGTGGGATTGCGAAGTTTGGGTGGTCACACAATAGGGGCCTTTAGCTTTCGAAGCTCACCACAGAGATGTCAGACATGCTGGCCTACGAAGACTTCGAAATGGTGTTGATGGATACATTCACGGGTCTGCCATTGGTGCGAGCGACCACTTGACTTGCGCGACTGAAGCATATCCATAGGGCCGCGCCGCTAGAACGCAATCACACTTGCACCGACATGTGACAGTGCGACACTGGAATCGTTCAGAAACATTTGCTGCAATCATCCGCTGCGTCACAGTGAGCCTCGTCCAATCGCGCCCGGCAGTCACTAACGCACGTGCGTCCGTTGTCATTTGCTCCTACCTCGCACCTGCCCCGATTGGATCGCGCGATGTCCTGGTCATCTTGTTGATCTCACAACAAGACGAAAAAGCTCTTCTTACTCAAAGACCACCAGTGACAGATTGAATCGTTCTGGAGAGATATTCACAGCGTCGCGGGTGACCTTGGGTGAACGCCTTCACTCTCACCAATTCACCGTCGCTCTCCGAACTACAGATAACCCCCGAGCGAGCGCACAACCCAACTTTCCGCACCAACCATCGGTCTCTCCTCACCTACCGTTCTAGGATTACACTTGGCACAAAGCCATCCGCAGAGTCCTAAAGCCGCGAAGAAAATCATGTCGAATATCGATCTCGAAAAGTGCACCGCCACTTCCTCATCCACCAGAGCCCTCCCCAGTACCAACCCCCGCGCCTCCAACATCAAGATGTCGTTCCCACTTCTCATCGCTTACATCGGTGACTACGTCGCAAACTACTAACTCAGTCCCACTGGCCCTGGATCCGCGCATCGCGACGGCGACTCCGGACGTATACCACCCCTGGCCATCGTGCTCACGCTTCTCGGCCCTGAACTCATTCAAAAAGCGTTTACTGTCACGACTTCAATTTCGAAGACGGAGTCTCCGTGTTTCGGTTCCGGGTGGCTGGCTTATAGCTTGTCACTCTTGTCGTCAGTCACGTCTGGCAGTGGTGATTTGATGCGGGAACCGGAGTGCGATGTGCAGGTTTTGGACATGAAGACGGGGAAGAAACGGTCGAACAGGGAGTTTGCTGTTGCAAGGCTACTCCGCGATCTGGAGTTTCGCTCTGTTCCGCCCAGCGTCGATGGCAAGTTTGACCAGGATAGCGAGGTCGTCGTTGAGGTCCTCCAGCCCACTGGCATACCCTTCTCCGCTTCCACTTCCCCCAGAAACCTACTGCAGAGTGGTAGCTTAATCACCGCAATCCTCCAATTCTGTCTTGCTGGCGCATTCTGGTTGTACTACGCCGATCTCTCACCCCTCCTCCTACTCAGCATATCAATCTTGCTTATCGAAGCTACCGCCAGCCTACCCGTCTGGACTGCTCAGAAAAACGCTTCCTTTACCCGGCACAGTCAGAAAGGCGCGTACGCACTCATGCGCGACACCGACTCCCCACCCAGCCACATCTACATCATCCAGCCCTCCTCAACTGCATTCACCAAGACCGAAAGCACGACCACACATCACGACACATCCACCAACGCCTCAAACCCCTGTGTGGCACCCATCATCCTCATCGCCGGCGCTTTCTTGAGCCAAGCCTTGCTCTACACCCAGCTTTCAGATGACGCAGCGATTGTTATGCTGCTTATCATGTTCCTTGGTACGATTAGTAACCTTGCTATCGTTGCTGCGCCGCGCGTGCCACAGGTCGATGGCGTGAAACTGGGATCTGTTGGTGTGATGAAGGGGGAGGGGGGTGTTGTGGAGGTTTTGAAGGAGGTTGAGGCGGTGTTTGAGGGGTATGGGGAGGTGCTACTGAAGCAGTGTTTCCCTGAGATGATTGAGAAATGGGAGGGTGGAACGGAGAAAGGCGGGATCGGCGAGATGGATTAAACACGATAGAGCGATTCTTGTTTTGCAAGGTCGCAGAGTGTTGGCCCTGTATCTGAACCGTCAGCAGTAAATTCCATCAACCACACGCAACGAATCCACAGTCAGCACAACACCTGATATCATAACATCTTAAATTCACGTCCCCGTCCCCGTCCCCGTCCCCCCTTTCTTCCCCCCTCCTAAAAGCGGTAACCTAACCCTTCCAAACACCATCCCCCCACCCCTCTGCATCTGCGCCACCGCATCCCCCAGCAGCACCCGTATCGCCCCTTCCAGCCTCTTATCCTTCTTCCGCCGCATCCACAACAGCACTATACCCAATATAAACACATCAACAGCAACATGCTTGAAGCACGCCCACACCCATCTCCACACGCCCCGAAAGAGCTGATAGTGCACTGAATGTGCAAACAGCCTTCTTGCTTCTAATTGTTCGCGTAGTGCCGCGACTTCCGCCGTCATCTTCATGAGCGATTGCTCAACGCGTTTCCGCCATTTCTGGTCTGCGACTGATTCTTTCGGGGAGCTGTCTTTCGCTGCTGCTGCGGCACCGTTTCCAACAGCGGGGGCAGGTGTGCTGCCGAAACCGGGTATAGGCATCTGAATCGGTTTGCCCAACACACCCATGCCGCGATTCCGTGGCGCGGGAGTGGGCGTCTGTATAGGTATTGGTTCTGCGCGGATCAACTGCTGTAAATCGGTTTGTACGCCTGCGTCTTCGAGGTCGGGGGCGTTGTCGTCGTCGTCGGGGTAGGATGTGGGGTTATATTGGCTGTCTGGGGCGTCGACGAAGACCTCGCCTTCACGCTCGATTTCCGCTTCTTCTTCCTCGAGCTCTTCTTCGGATTGCGACATTGGTGATTTTACGCGGAGGGGCACGGCGCGGCGTTCAGGTTCGTCTCGAGGGCCGTCCATGTCGTTGCTGCTGTTCATGGCTGCGCGGCCGCTCTGGCCGAGTTCGTGCTGGGAGTAGCCGGGGGTTATGTGGTCGGAGGTACGTAGCGGCGAGGAGGAGGAGGAGGACGGCACGTTGGATTTGACTTGGTCCCAGACGAATTCTAGCTCGGCGACTAGTTCTCGGGAGTCGGGTGAGGGCGAGGCGTACTTGTGCATGGTGTCGATGAGGGTGGTGATGTAGCGGCGTTTGGCTTCGGTGCGGGAGAGGCCGTTCTGCTGTTTCCAAGCGTCCCTGGGGATGTTAGGTCCTGTCATGTATGCGTTCCATGATGGGGACTTGGATGGTGCTATGCGCCAAGTGACATACCATTTCTCCCGTGCTCGTTGCGACTGGTCATCATTCCCTCGTGGACATTCCATTATACCGTCGACATCGCCCTCTGTTTTGGTCAGCTCTGGTCGTAGCACAGTCCCCCTCCGCATCATTTCCCTCGAGGCAACGTACCCATGGCCTGCTTATACAGCCCATACAAGCGTAACCTGGTCGCAGACGGCGGTTTCTGCGACCCCGTCCGTATCTTGTTGACGGTGTTGAGCGCATGGCTAAAGACTCGATCTATATTCACCTCTATTAGCAAAAGCTCCTTCTATCCCATTCCACCCCAGATAAACCTACCAACCGAGTCCGACATTACGAGCGTGGATATCGCGCCCCCATAAACGGGGAGCGGCGCATTGATTGGTGTGGCGGTGCGTGAGAGTGCCTCAAGAGCAGGCACAAGGTATTCAGCCAGGCAGGAGCAAAAGACTAGGTAAAGTAGAACGGCGCAATGGATGGCGGACGGCGTGCATGATGCGATGACAATGCGGAGCCGTGTGGAGATGGCATTCGTTGTCGCGCGACCCTGGCGCTTTGGCCTCGGCTCTTCCGGAGCGGGCGCGCTTGCCATGTGGCAGTGCCGTCGGCCGCCGTTTCACGTGTCAACACACTTTGATTGGATTCACCGCACTTTGTACTCTTGCTGATGTACTGTAAAATTCTATCGTCTTGTTTTCACGACTTATATTGAACGCGATAACAGCCTTACAATTGTTCGTGGCTGAAGCAGGGATCTTGTCGACTGATCGGGCAATGTTTTCCGCACGCGATTCCTGGACGAGACGAGATACATTTGCGACGCAAGACTCGCTGACTCCCTGTGGCTCGTATCTAAAATCATCTCATATCTGACAATATATCCCACAACAGCGTCTACCAGTTTGCTACCACTGGCTGCACATCGCTCGTGAACGACCACACGCCCTGGGAGTTGACAGCGTGAACAATCGCCTTCCTCGCTACATCCTGTCTACGCGTCGTAGTCGCAATCTGAGTCGAGGTTCCCTGGCATGACTATTAGTATCGCCCTTCGAAGACGATTGACGGACTCACCTGTACGCGTGCACCCCTCACGTTCGTGTAGGGGTTGCCAACTTCATCCGTACCAGTCGGGTACTCCACAATGACGGAATACGCAGTCGCGCTGGATACCGGCGACCAGCTGACCTGGAAGTCTCCGGCATCATTGCTCCTTCGCAGAGATACGCCTGCAACCTTGGCTGGACGCGAAAGACCACCGACAGCGCGTATCTGCCCCGTTGTGTAGCATCCATTCGACGTTCCTGAAGTGGTGTAGAACCGCCATGAGACAGGCGCCTGTCCGTTCTTGCAAACATTGCTGAACTCATGCACAGCCGTGAACGCAGAGTTTCCAGGGTACTTAGTGAGGAAGTTGTTGCCAAGGTAGGGGTAGAAGGTATCGCTGACGCCAAAGCTGTCGAAGTCGCGGAAGGGCTTGAGTTCGGCACGACTGCCGTCCGCGTACGTGGCTTCGAATGCCCATTGCACTCCTACGTATCGGTCTTTGTTGAAGGTGAGTTGTGCAGTGCAGCTACCGAGGTTAAAGGCCTTGTAGTTGCTGGGAGCTACGCTGCCGGTATACGGGTAGCTCCAGGATGTACTGCATTGTTGACGCGGTTCGAGAGCAAGAGGCGATGCTGTCGTAGCGGTCGTCAGGAGCGTGGAGAGAGTTGCGAAAGTGAGCCTCATAATGACGATGAATGTACAAGAGATGGGACACGAATGCATCACAACATGGGAAACAAGCACCCTAAATACCACTCCTCCACCCTCCCAATTGACATCACCAGCGGGTCAAATGCACCAAAAACTCTACTTATACAACTAGACAAGTCTTGGACACTACATCACCCGCCCACGAGGAGCGCAACCCGCCAATTCATATTAGCAGCCAAGACGGGCGTGTACAGCTTTCAAGAGATTCCAAGGCGGACGGAGACAACACCCATGGGGGTATGCGGTTTAGCTGGTGATCATCTGCGGGCCGCGAGAAGCCTAGCTTTCTTGGCGCTGCAGGTCAATCTTCGTATTCGGTCTTGAGGCTTGGGCTTGGCTAGGGTGATCTGCGTTGGGTACATGCGACGACTGAGACTGTTTTTGCTTCGACGTCCTCTGGGTTCGAGCTCGATATTCATGAGTGATTTTACGAGTATGTTTGGCTCTGGGCAGTGCGACAGGTATAAGCCGACCGATGTTTATGGTAGGATTTCGTTATAGGGCTTGGCACAGACTATCACTTAATGGTTTCATTTCACTGACAAGACTTGGTGTTATTCCTCGATACTGATCTACCAGCTGTAGCAGCTATCCTTTTATCAAGACCAAGATCTGAACCATACCCATATCACAAAGATTACACCATCGCCATGCGTCGCCCATCACGGACCACCATCTCAGACTAAACCTTTGCCTCACAACCACAGTCCCAATTCCACCTCAAGAGTAGCCTCTTCCCAGTGGAATCGAAGACTCGCATACTCAAACCCCAGCCTAAGGACACTTCCACCCACAGTTGTCCCGGCAGAAGTAGTTGCTCGCCTTGCAAGTATCAGCGCGGCAAGTCGTATCGCAGGTAGCTGGGTTGAACCAGCAGGGCCAAGACTAATCATCAATCACCCGAGTTAGTTCAATGCTTCTCGGGGAATTGTGGGGATTGGGGATGGGGAATCGAACTTACACGAAGGCAGTGCTCGAAGTTGTCTTTGCACTGGTCGCAGGTGGGAACTTGGACGGGCGGGCCGGTCTCTTGGGGAGAGGCGATGGGGACGGCGATGGGGCTGGCGTCGGGGTTGGTGAGGGGGGTGGCTGTTGTGAGGGCCGCGAGGGCGAGGAGGAGGGGGGTTGTGAAATGCATTGTTGGTGAGGTGGGTGGGGGGTGGTGTGGGGTTGAGGGGATTGAGTTGAGGGTGGATGGGGAGAAGGGGGCTTTCTTGGAGCAGCGGATTGGGGGGTTATATATACGCAGGGCTGGAGGGTCAGGTTAGGTAGCCGGAGGGGTTGAATCACCTCCATGGATCACCTGGGGTACTGATCTGCGTGGCGGCATACGAATGTTGGTAGTGAAAGAATGGGAGGCTTGATACGATCAGTGGGGTAAGGGTGTGAGATTGGTACACGGTTGGTGAGCGCTTTCGCGCGACTTTATGTCAGGGGCATTGGTAATTGTAGAAAGTAAGGATGCGTACATATTCCAACAACAACATATAAGCATCGCTCTCCACCTCAACCCGCTCCCTCAGACTCCATCCTTGCCAACCAGCCTTAGTCTCATTCCTCCCTCAATCCCTCAATCCCACCGTCTCTCCAATCTCCAATGCCCTCTCGCACCCACAAACCCCAGTCTAAGGGCACTTCCACCCACAGTGCTCCCTGCACGCAGCGTCATTACGACAAACGTCGTTGTGGCAAGTAATGATACACATCCTCGGGTTGATCCAACAGACCCAAGTCTAGTTCCACACACACAATGATTAGTTCAAGTCACACTGGAAGAGATGGGAAAAGGGGGGTATTACCTTCTGGCAGTCCTCGAACTCCTTGTTGCACTTGTCGCAGATGGGGTCACGGGCGACGAGCGGGTTGGCCGAGGTGATGGCGTTGGCGGAGGGGGAGGTGACGGGGTTGGCGGTGGTGAGGGCCGCGATGAAGAGGAGGAGGGGGGTGGTGTACTTCATGTTTGGTGGAGTGGGTGTGGTTTGGTTTGGTGTGTAATTGGGTGTGTGGTTGAGGAGATTGTGTCGATGGCGGATGGAGAGAGGGATGTTCTTGGGGCAGCGCATCGTGGGTTTATATGCATCTTGGGTGATGTTCTAGGTAGCGATGTACCGACATGGTAATGAAAGAATGTAGATGTTGATACGGACTAGAGTGGGGAGAGGTGTTGTGGAATTGGCGCATGGGCGAGCCATTTCACGCGGTTGAAGCACGTTTATGTCAAGGGCGTTAATGCTTGTGTTAAGCATGAGCGCATATTGCAACCGCATATTCCAACAACATGCAAGGTTGAACTCAAGAATGCATAACTACATGTAAGGATTACTACATGTAAGGGAAAAGAAATTACACGTAAGGACGGCTACATGCAAGAATGACGTAACATGTAGATGAACGCAACAACTCAGAAGTTCACTATGCAGCTTACTACTGGACGGCTGAATACATCATTAAAAACAACATGAGAGTCGGTGGCGATTTTATTATTACAAGAGAAAACACCACAACACACTCATTGCCGGGTCTGTTTGTACCTTTTGTCATTCACTCGCCTCATTACGACCCACCCGAGCTCGTGGGCATTCTACAACTCGAAGTCAGCTGTTCCTCGTTTCCTCACTCTCGATGCGTTCCATTAGCATCGGGTCTGGACTTCCAGTTGCATGTGGGTCACGTCAGCTGACCACGGTAACAATGAATGCCTTCACTTTCGACTATCGGCGACATAGCTTTGAGTGTATCGGAAGGCATGGCCACCAGCGTCGAACGCAGACAAGCGGGAGGTTGGATTAAGGGAAGAAAGCTATGGATTAGTTGCGCTTATCTGAACCCTGCCGAGGTCCTCACAGTGGACAGACGTCAGAAAGGTGGTTTCAGGCGAGGAGAGGACGTTATAGACGCGTCACTTTTGCTCAGATACATTCACATTCACATGCAAAAGTTCAGTATGTGTAAGTGTGTAGTTGACATTCATCTTTAGGTAAATTTACCAAGGATGTATCATGCCACCAAGTCCCGTCCATGATCAGTTTCCCATATTCGCAATGATGACAGGCATTCAGCCAAGACAAATTCTCATCCCAGCCTCCATGCTACCCGTTGCCTTGCATGCCTCACTGATGTTCATCCACTGCCGTGATACCCGAGATAGATATCCTAATTGGGTTCGGGAAGGGAGCAAGAAGCATGATGGGTGCACTCATCGCCGCAAGCAACTGTCTCGCCTGCAGGTACGTACTTGCAGGTGTCGTTGCGGTCACAGTCGCTCATGCACTTATACCATCCAAAGAATTTGTGCCCGCGGTCGTCAAGTTTGTCCTTGCAGACGTCCTATTGAAGTTAGTTTCTGGGCTGAGCACCAAAGAATACGGGCTCGGGGCTGCGACAACTTACCTTCTCGCAGTGTTCAAGGCTGTAGATGTAGCACTTCTTGCACAGAACGGAGTCTTCCTTCTTCTCGGGGCCGGCGAGGACGAGGGCGGAGGCAGCTGCCAGAATGAGGATGGAGAGCTTCATGCTTGCGAGTGGGTAGATGTTGATGGAGTTGTTGTGGTTGATGGAGTTTGTTTTGTGGTGAGGTAGACGTTGAGTGTTTTGAGTGTTTGATCGTTGGTGGAGGAGAGAAGAGGAGAGAGGGAGGATGGGCGGGATTATATACCCGTGGGGAGAGCAGGGAGAAGCGGAGCTCTAGGTATGGTAGATGGGCAGCTGCGTAACTCGCGGTGAGGGAGCGGCGACCCGCGGTGAGTGAGAGATACCTAGATAACGCGCGGTGAGGGAGCGGCAGCTACTTCGCAGCTGCTGGAGTTGCTGCGAAGCCGAGAGTTAAAGGTCTGTGCCCTGCCAATCTCTCTCACCTGAGATAGGTCATAGGTATTGGCAAATGCGTTGTTAGTAACGGAATCTCTGAGTTCCCGGATAGTGGCGGTTTCGTCCATGGATAGCAAGAGCTTCTTGATTGGAGAAAAGCAGTATTATTACCCTACAAGCCGATGGAGAGAGCAATAATGAAACATCTCCTAATTCAGGAATGTCATTTGCTCCGTGCAACGTATCCAAAGTCTCATGTATTCTGCTTGACCAGCCATGAATGCGCATCGTCGTCGCAACCAGTCTAGCACTTCCATATACCATGAGACTGTCAGCGCAAAGCATTTCCAAAGTACTTCGCCCCATTCCGGTATCCGCTCCCCCCCGTCGACATGGTCTCAATCTCCCGTAATGGTTGGACGATCATGGCCCATGAATGCGCAGGTCGGGTGGTGGGAACTTGGGTTTCTCACTCCATCCATGACAGTTCAAGAAGTAGTAGTTGCCACACCAGATTTCACACCATTCGCCAATTGTGCCTGAATTGCACAGCCAAGTTTGGCACTGGAACGAGCACTCCTCGTTGAGTTCGAACGAAGGGCATTTGTCCTATAAGACATGTCAGCAACTGGGTAAGTTTGTGTTGGAACTGGAGGACTTACGGCCATGCATTCATTCCACATCTGAAAGCAGGTGTTACACGAGTGCGAGAATTCGAATTGGCTTTCTGAGGCGAGAGCGGCGGTGCTGAGTGCTGCGATGATGAGGGTGGTGATCTTCATGTTGACACAGATGTGGTAGATCGGCCTTGTGGGGGGTTTGAAGATGGGCCGGGTGGTAGTGTTGGTGTTGGGTTGAAGGAAGGGGAGACGAAAATTAGATTTGTGAGTATGCGCGCATTTTATATGCTGTGTCTCTAGGCGAACATGCTGAAGTCTCCCTATTGGCACTCACACGTAGTGTTAGCGTCATTGGTGCTCAACAAGAACTCGCCGTGGAGAATACATCATCGGTGTGGAGCGAAACTAGGAGTCTCTTCTCAACACTATGCTGGTCGTTGTTCACCTCGTTTGCTGGTTAACTTGGTGCCAGAGTTTCGCGTTCGAGGACCCCATTTGTATCACAGGGACGCTGCTCTTGTGACAACGAAGTGGATCAGCGTTTAGTACCATTGTAGATTGCAATCTAGTGGGGATATCTTTGTTGATGGATGATGACAACAATGCGTCTAATCATCGAGATCTAATCGCGGGAGAGATGATCCCTTTGGGTTATTGTGCATCCTGCCAAACCCAATCGTTCCACATCTGCAGTGCCCCCTAAAACATCCAGAGCAATTCGCAAATAGATACCCGATAGCCTTTCGTTCTCATACCAGCCATCCTACGCCCCTACGCATGATGATGCCAATGCGGCTCCCCGAATTTCCCAAAAGTCACCTTACACTGACGCCGAACACACGGACCATAATGATTCTCCATCAAATCCACGCATTTCCACTGACTCTCGTAGAACTGAGTGATATTGGTTGGCCTGTCCAAGTAGTAGTTGTAGCTGTCTACGTATTTCTGTCGGGGGTTGGGTTAGCGATCTACAAGCGTGTGGAAAAGTTAATGGGGGGAGGAGAAGGGACGTACGTCCATGCATTCCATATATCTGACACCGCACCAGAAGCAAGTGCTGGGTGGTGGAAGACCTTTTAGGGAGCCTCTGGGCATGGCACCGCTTGAGGTAGGGACGTCGTACAGGGGAGGGGCGGCGAGGGTTGCGGTGGTGAAGAGAGCGATGAGGGCGAATGTGAACTTCATCTTGGTGACTTGTGGTGTGGATGTTGGGTTGTTCTCTTCAGATATAGACGGATCTGCGGTGAGAGCCATATACATTTTTGCCAGTTAGTTCACATTGGTGTGCAATACCATCCTTTAACCAGCATCCAGGTCATCCACCCGTGCTGCGATAACGCAGAGCGAGCAGCGGGCCATTTCCAATATCTGCAACACATGACATGCCATATACCAAGGTCCTCCGCAGAGGAGATACCGCAAGCATCAAAGACCCGGTCGTACGTAGTCGATTCGTAGAGGGCGCCGTGGTGGAAGGTGGTAGATGAGGCGGGTCTCTCCGTCTCAACAGCAAATTCCCCCAGTACCACATGAGTTTTTGGAGCAGAACAACGGTATAGCAACATTGGCAAAAATATGAATATCGGCATGTGATGCGCAAAGCCGCGGTCGGTTGAGAAGTTCCGACGAATGTCAGGGATGGCATGGTGGAACTGTGGGGCTGAGCCATGATTTTACAACCAGCCAACACATTACCAGCACAGGCAGATAAGACGCAAACATAGCCGCCTTTACAGTAGCGCAGGGGTTTGGAAGATGATAGCTATGCGAACAGAAATTGATAAGCTGAGAAAGACAGCACGTTTGACTGGTCTCGAGTTACTAAGAATATGGTCTCACACCTCTCTTCCGTAATGACTCTCGCTGTTCACTCTTTTGCCGTCCGAAACACAATTTTCTGATCCTCAACAACATCAAACAACGTTTGGGAAACTCCACAGGCTCTGAATCAACGTGTGTTGGCTGGCGCGTCTTATCAAACACGTACCAGACACCCTCTCCAGTCTATACCCTGAGACTCCACCAGCGGTTGCACCTAAAACTAGACTTCATGGTATACCCGCTCAATACATCGCTAATTGCCCTAACCAATAGTTGGTCCGAAAACCCATGATGTAAAGACGGAGGTGTAGAAACCTGGCCGACGCTCTTCAGTTTGGTGCTGGAATAGGCGTGGGTCGCTAGAGTGGGTCCATTTGGTCACCGGGTACGACGCAGATATGGCGTTGAGGACTGCACTTCTGTTCTGTGGCTTGAACGCCACATCAATTGCGCACCCCATGGAGATTTCACGACGACGGGCTATCCTTGGCTATAGGCGGGCTACAACCGCCCATATTGGCGTCTTCGTCGTCAACGACAGGCTCGTTATCACAGTTACAGTGGGAGTTCCAGGAGCTGGGGCACTCGTTTGCGCAGCATTGCCCGATTGTTGTCGCTGATAGGATTGCTGAGGTTTCTCTTTGTCGTGACCGTAAATGCTGTCAACATCGCTATCGTAATCGTTTTTGTCATCGCCTCCAGGAGTTTGCGAGGTCTGGTCTCCAGCCGCATCTTCATCTTGCGCTGCGGGCCTACCCGGATGTGTTATCGCACTGAGCTGTGGTAATGGCTTCTGTGGTACACTCAATCCAGACAAGGGTAGTAACTGGGCCCGGAAGTCTGACGCTGATTTCGGGGTGTATCCCGCCGCAGGCTGTGTCGGGTCGTAAGCTGGCGGAGTAGTCGGTAAATTGCTTGATTTCATGCCCGCCGAAGACTGCATGGGCCTGGACGCGGGCGAGGCGACCGGGGAATCTGTAGTCGCTGTACCTGCTGTAGGTTGTGCACGATGGCGGGCGGATGCCGGCTTGAGCAAGCTTCTTGCGTTCGATAGTGCAGCGTCGGGCAGCTTCATGGCTGGGTAGCTTGAACTCCGAGGAGACGGTGTTGCATTACCACTTTGACCGCGTGGTGTACTAAGGCTGCCGAGAGTCGGTATACCTGCATAAGGAGACGTGCTCTTCCTCTCGTGCAAAGTGACTGGGTTATACGAGCGTGCGTAACCTCCCGGTGCGAAACCACCTGCTAGAGGTGAAGGCGGCGGCGGTCTGTCATACGAAAATGGGGAAATAAAATTCGAGCTTGACATCGACGGCGCGCTAAGTGTACTTTGTGTAGTCGGGCGAGGCGGAAGACCAGGATTAGCGACTGGAGATGGTTGCGCCGGCGGTGGACTCGTCGATGTGTTTTTGGCCTCCTTCAGCTTCTGCCATATTGGAAGGTCTTTGATCTTTTCCACATCGTTCTTCTCAAAACGAGCTTCTTCCTCAGTATCAAATGAGACTGGACCTCTGAAGCGGCCCTTCTTCGGAGTACCAGCTCGTGCACCTGAACTCTCCTTCTGGGGAGTTGCTGGATCATCTGGAATCTTTTCCGATGCTTCTAAATCTGAGTCATCAGAAAGGTCTCGTGTTCTCTTGGACGCTTTATTCAGTTCATCCAACTGATCCTTTTCCACTTCTTTGGCAAGCTTGTCCAGTTCATCGTCATCGATTTCGTCCGACAACGCGCTACCATCGTCAGAACCAGCTGGCAAGGGATCACCTCGAGGTTCAGCACCTCCAGCATCTGGGTCAAACCATGCCATCAGCTCTTGTGCATCTTTGTAGTCGTCGTGACTTTCTCCTCGCATTTCGTACGTGTCCATGGGAACTTCCCGGAAGACTTGACCTTGGCGCCCGGTGAGTTCGTCTAGCGACTCCATGCCGGCTGATCGATTTTCCGCATGTTCGGGATTCTCTACGATCCTGTGGTCCTCCCGAAGTTGTACTAAGCGTGTTCTCGGTCTGATAGTCGTGAACTCAACTGGGTGTTTGTATTCATGTTCAGCGTTGTCCGGAGCTTTGTTGAAGTCACTGTCCCATACTCGTTGAGTTCCTGAATCTGGCGAGACTCGTGCTTTGTCATGGTTGTCGGTCTGGTCAACGCTAAGATCGACATTCGAAAGCCCAGCGATGAGTTCCTCATTGTCTTCAGCAACTCCGTAGTCTTCGAGATCAATGTCGTCTCCGTGTGTTGATGGTGGTGGAGTTAGACCATCTCGTGCCGGCCCCTGATCTTCTCCAAATGCCTTTGCAACGGCGGCACGAACGATCTCTTGATCTGACACATCGTCACCCTGTTCAGTTTGCGTAGCATCCCCAAATTCGGCACTCCAGTTCGCGTTCGAGAATGGGTCAAACGCATCTGGCGCATCCTTAAGAGGCCCAGGAACAATGACCGATGGCTGCTGGTTCGGTAAAGGACAATCATCGCCGCCGTTTCCGAGAAGATGATCGAAGCTTTCCCCGTCTGTCGGATACTGCTGAGGCTCAAACATGGGAGGTGGATTCTCGATAGGCCCATTCTGCGCCTCATACGCGTCAATATCAGCGAATATGTTTTGTTCTGCCATTTCACCGTATTGCTCGTCCTCGGGAGACAGATACAGACTTGTTGGCATTTCGCTGTTTTGTTCTAGTCCCTCGAGAGGCACCAGCTGTCTCCTCATGCCATCGGTGGTGGTGGTTGGCGTTTGCTCATTGTTGAAGCCAGAGTTGGCGATCTTGTCGAAATCGATGCCGTCCAAGTTGATGTTATCCAGATTGATGTTGTCCATATTGATATCGTCCAAATCGGTATCGGACATATCGACATTGAATAGATCGGACATATCGACATCTCCATCGTCGTCAGGCGTGGCAGTAGTATCAAAGGCCGCGGGCGTAGTAGTCATGGGAATGCCAGCATCGTTGGAAGCTCCAGGCTGTGCGGATGAATCGCCATTATTGTCGCCACCACCCTCATTACCGTCGTCGCCATTATCCATCTGATCGTTGGTGTCAGCTTGGTTGTTCAAAGTCTGACTGTCATCATTGTTATGACTATGGGGATCGCTCTCACCGTTCTGCCCCTCGTCGCTCGAAGAAGCCTCGTCGATCCCCTCCATAGGTCCTGAGCCAGCTGAACCCGACGGCGATGGAGGGTTCGCGCCTCCACTACCGCGCGATGGATCGAAAGGAGAGGGGGGATCATCACTGCCACCTCCACCCCCACTACCGCCGCCGCCGTTTCCACCAGAAGAACCACCAGGGCCAGGCGGCGCATCTCCACCATCCCCACCAGCCCTTCGAGCCGCAGCTTCACGTTCTCGCCTCATAATGGTCAACGTACTAGGGCCTCCCAGCAGCCTGTTACGCCACTGTTCTGCGGAGTCTGGATGCGCAGGGTCTGTGGGCCGAGCGGCAGGCCGATTGTAGATGGCAGGAAGGGCGAATTGCGTCTTAAGTTCCTCTTCTGTGAACATAGGCGGCTCAGTCCTGCTGGAAGGAAGCGAGCTGAAAGGGGCCCAAGGACGACTATTTGCCGTGCCGGGAGCTGGTTGCGAGAGTAAGTCGGGGACAGTTTCATTGACACTGGTCGTGGGCGTAGCTGCTGGAGGGTCGTCGTTCGTGCCTCTCATTGGCATATCCGTTGGCGAAGAAGGTTCATTGCCGGGTTCAGGAGTGGCATGCTTCGGGGCACCAGATATCGGCGTATTGTGTGAAGAGTCGTCACCTTCTCCATCATGGTTGCCATTTTCGTCGTCATCACCGTCACCAGGCGCTGGTGCTCCACCAGAAGCAACCTCCATAGGAGTCAAGACCTTCTTCTGCTCAGCCTCTCTTCGCACCTCCTCGCGTTGCCTCTCAAGTGCTGCAGCAATCTCGGCATCTATAGGACTCGCTGGCTGTAGCGGAGCTGATGTGCCTATCGTGGGACTCCCACCGAAATCGAACTCTTCTTCGCCTTCGACCTCGTCTTCCTCTTCGTCGCTTTCTTGCACACCATCTTGCCCATCGTCTTGCCCATCGTCCTCTCCCTGACCTTGCACTAGACCAGCGGCTAGAGCTTGGTGATCTGGTGCATTGACAGATTCTGAAGCAGGGTCCTTGGGAGGCGTGTGCTTGGCGGGTGTAGCGAGTTCCATCATCTCAATGGGAACAAATGTCATGGGCGTGTATCCATCTTGCGTCTCAGGTTCTGGTGCGTTGACTACGATGGTAGGAAGATCGAACGTGATGTCAAGCGATGACGAAGGCTCAGTAGTGTATGTGGCAGACTTTGGTACATCGGTAGGCGTAATGACGGGAGTAGGTACAACCAGAGAATTGGAGGAAATGGCTGGTATCGCAGGAGTAGCGATGGTAGAGGGAGTGGTCGTTGTCAGAGGAGTAGGCTCGAACAGAGGAGTATGTTTGAACGTGGCGGCTGGAGTGAGGGTACGCAAAGATGCCGATGTATCAGCACCCACCGATGTCACTGGCAGCTGAGCCGCAGGGTCTGGAATAGCTTCAGTTGTCGTCTCTGATGGGATAGCTGCCATTGCCTCCTCAGGTTTCTCAGCTTCAACAGTAGCCCGGTGCTGTTGCTCAGTCTCTGTAGGCTGAGATATCATCGAAGAATCAGCAGCTGGACTTTCGCTGGCGTCGTTTGACGATTGTGGCTCCTCGTGTTCTGCACCGCTTGCCAGACCAGATTGCTCTAGGAAGTCCTTATGCTCCTGCTCAGCAGCAGCCCTAGCTGCCTCAATAGCATTTTCTCTTGCTGTGCGCGCCGCCTCACTGTCGAAGAGCCAAGTCATACAGCGCTGTAGCCAAGGAAGAGATGCGTTTGTCTGTGTCCATGCATCTGCGGTGGGCGTCTCAGTATGAGCCTCAGCCTGATCCGGAGTCTCAATCGATTGCTCCCGTGCTGGCGTTCCCACGGGAGTCTGTACAGGCGAAGCCTGTTGTTGAGTGGGCAACGCGTCTACTTCGTCTGGCAGCCCTGATAGGTCCTCATCCTGAAGATCAACTGCCTGACTATTGCTGGGTGGCTGAGGTGCCTGCGCCGGCTGTGCGTCTGGTGGCTGATTGGGAGTATCAGGCTCTCCACTTTGGGGGTCTACTTGCTCTGGATCTTCGACGCCACTGGTAGGGGCGGGGATTTGTGCTGCGGGAGGGCTTGGTGGCGCAGAGCCAGGAACCATAACTTCATCCGGCCGATTAGGGAGCAGTTCATTGGGAGAATCTCGGGCCACGATCGGAGCCGGCCGCCAGTGGGCTAGAAGTAGAAGTATGACAAGGACAGTCGCAAAGATAATGCCATAGTCCTGGGTGCATGCCAGAACCCCATTCGTGCCTAGGACGTACATCATCATGAAACTAGTTGCGAATGTAAATGAGGACCGGACCTTATGTGCGGGATATGCTTGAGCGGCCATGATCCAGCCTACAGTACATACACTGGTGAGCGCGATGATGATCGTCGCGCGCCATACCCAGTGGTAAGCTAGGCCTTGGCACCAATTGCTGAGGCAGCGTGTACCCACGGCAGATACGACCGGCTGGATCTGTGCCCTGTAGAATAAGCTCAGGTTCATCGAGATCCTTCCGAATGCTGAAAAAGTCGTTTTCTGGGTGTTTGTGATGAAACTGGAGGTAGCATTCCTAACGGACTTGGTAGCCCATGCCGGCGAGAGGGTAGTGGGTATACGAGAGCTCGTAACCCTTTTCGTTGGGGTAGCAGTGTACACATAAGAGCTCGTTGCGCGTTCCCGCGAAGTTGTAGTGAGTTTGCGAGAAGGCGTGACCCAATTCCGTAAAGCTGTCGTGGTTACAGCAGTCCATGAAGTCGACCCCTTAACTGGGGCTGGAATCGACGCAGTGCTAGTAGTAAACTCCTTCATTGGATGAGCAGCTGCATCGGACGTCCTTTCAATCCAAGGCTGTATGGTGTGCCAGATCGCCGTGAAAAGAGACTGGAACAATGGTATGAATGCATACGTTAATGCCCAGAGCGCGAACAACCCAACGACTGGGCCAACCCATACTGGTAGCAACCCATATACTGTCCGGGGACCGAGTAATATTGTCGCGAGCACCCAGCGGAGACATTCGCCGACAGTCTTTGGGTGCCACAGGAAGATAGCGCGACCTCTGACGATGAGCATAAACTTGTACCGAACCCAAGCCTTCACAACCCGGAGTTTCGCTATGCAAATTCGAGAGACTTCGATGATGCCGTGCACGAGGGAGTCGACATAGGAGAGGCCCACAAGCTTGAGCACGACAGCAAAATGACTGAAGGGTGGGGCAACGCCGCCTCTGATAAGTCTATCAGCGCACAAAGATGGCTGGTCTATATGGATGAGGACGTATACTACTACTGCAACCGCAGCGTAGTATCGTATCCAGGTTCGCGCGGCGATGACCGATCGGTATGAGCCGCCGACCACGAGGTTCAATATGGTGAAGATGGTGTTGCGCGCCTCTTCGTCATAGATTGAAAGAACGTGTACCGCTGGCACACTGGCCAAGATAACAGCCAAGTCCTGGACGTAGACACTGAGCCAAATGACAGTTATCATAACAGTGAAGGCGATGCAACAACGAATTAATGTCTCTTTCCGGTGCGGGATGACAGCAGGCGCGCTGGCGGACAGATCCTGGGTCTCAGACATGTCTTCATCCTCGCTTAAATCGCTTTCATCTTCTTTGTGGTGAACAACTTCGCGGGTCCTTCGTCCGGCGAAAAGGAGGAAATAAATCGCGATACCGACGAGGGTGGCGTATAACGCCCGGTCTATGATGAAGTGATCGGCTTGCTGCTTTCCCAGGAAGCTGGCTACTGCTTTCTGCCACACGTTGTAGGATACGGTGCCGATGCTGCGTGCGTATGCTACAGGTTTGGAGTATGGCAATGTTGGCAAGCGAAATTCCGCGTAGGCGAGATATCCAACGACAAACATGTATGCATTGCGCACCATAAATGCTACCATTTCCTGAATGTCTGGGTCATCCTTATACAGATGGTCACATACGGCGAAGAGAATGGATGGCACATATCCCACCATGATATCCACCATAGTGATCGGGCTACTGTAGTAGGACGACTTGGTCGGCTTTTGATTTGCTTGCTGCGTAACGTATTTATCATCAATCGCTCGTCGAAAGTCATTCCAGCGTAAGAGTTGGGATTTGGCGAGTGACGGCGAATCTCGAAGTGGTTTGCTAGCCGGCTTTTTTCTGTAAGGTGTAAAGGCCGGCTTGTGTTCTCTCGGCGTAACGGTGCTGTCCTTGCTGCTGGACACAGGTGCGCTGGGAAGTGTCTTAGATGACGACGAATCTTGGAGTGATTTCCTAGCCGCCTTTTGTCTGTAATGTGTAAAGGCTGGCTTGTGTTCTGTCATCTTCGAGATACTGCTCCGGGTGCTTTTGCTAGCCGCATGTTGCCTATAATGTGTAAAGGCCGACTTATGTTCTTTGAGGCCAGAGTCGATGCCCGCAGTGCTAGATAGAGGAGCACTGGAAACTGTCTTTGATCTCTGCGGAATGGTAATGGTTTCAAACGAATAGTCTATGATCTCATCGAACGACTGTGAGGCAACCGGTAACTGTTCAACCACAACTGGAGACGTGGTCCGAGAAAGCACCTTGCCAACGGTGGAAGACCCGGTCGAGGTGACGACTCTGGGTGTATCGCTGATGGTCGATTCTTTCGATGCCGCGGAGGATCGCGAGCCGTGTAGAACCCTACTCATCCGGGCTTTGAAGCCTGTATTTGTAACATTGGAAGATTTCGTGCCCAATACTGATGGTACCTCGTGAACAGGATTGCTCTTCTCAGAAGAAATACTCGTAGTCTTTGCCAGTGAACGCTCTGAACTCTTGCTAGTTATCCCCGGCACTGTATCTCGCGGAGTACTACGCTCCCAGGAGAGTTGCGATGAGCTACTCGCTTTTGAACGAGCAGAGCTTTCCGTGTCAGATTTGAAAATGTCCCGGTTTGATTCGGAAGACAAGGGAGTGTCCAAAACTTCAACTTTGGCTTGCTGTTCGACAGTGGAGGGTGTGTTGCAGGCCGGTGAGACAGAACTAGTGACGGTGATAAGGGTAGGCCGGGGAACTTTGGTAACTATTGATTTCACGATTCCGGCTGCGTCTTCGATGGTGTGGAAGGGTTTGGCGACAGATGTCGTAAGAGGCCTGGGTTTCTGATACCAAACCTTAGCCTGCTCAAAGGTTGGTATGTAATGCGGCACAGCAGCAGCGACGGCACCTGCAGCGTAGATACCAGCTGCTACTTCGGGGTGTTGGTTCCACAGGTGCGCAAAGGCCTGCATTACAGCGCCAGGAAGGGCGTCCATGGTAGGCGATTGTGCTGATGGGTCTAGAAAATGTGTGTGTCGTTATCGTATTCTCGAGGGTGTGAACACATATGGTGTAATATCATGAGGGCGTGCCTTGTTGAGATGGGCGATGTATGGAGTGTCTCAAACCTGAGAAGACATCAGACATGTAGCTGATGAGACAAAGCGTCCTCTCCAGGTCGTATAAGACAAACAGAGTTTCGAGTGAAAGGCCGCCACCCTAGCATCAATATGAAGTTCACATTGCCTTTGTCCGCCGAAAGAGAAAACTTCGGCGTTGTTGTGAGAGGCGAGACAATGAAACCAAGAGCGTGCACTTCAGAGACCAATGCAGCATTGCGACATGAGCGTAACTTACACTCAGATTTGGCTCAGCGCGCCAAATGGCGATCCAGTCATCGATGTCAGAGTATCGAGCCAGAATGAGGCTCTGGTCACTGGCAGGAATTATCATGCTCTCACTAGGCATGAAGCCTGCGCATGGTCGGAGACGATGAGATCAGGGGAAACACGTGAAGTGAGCGTCGAGGATGGACACGTCCGCCATAACAGACATATCGCTTCATGACGTGGGCCTGTGTGCGACGGCGATCAGTTCCCATGCCCTTCCACCGATCTGCTCGGCGCTCTGCTCTTCCACAGTCCATCCGGCAAAGCATGCCTTGTAGTCATCCCAATCCGATTTGGGGCCTGCCCATATCACTCTGTCCACGCTGTCCTGGCCATACTGTGCAAGGTATTCGCGTACTAGCCCAACGCGTCGCGGGTATACGAAAAGCCATGTCGTAGCCTCCTCTGCGAGCGGCTCAAGAAAACGCGTGCCGTGAACGACGCGATGGTTCGAAGAGGGCAAGTATCTGTTCGAGCTCGGCTCTACTTCAACACCAATGACATGGTACGCGTAGGGTTTGGTGATGAGATAGCTTTCGAGGAGGCCGAAGCCGCTTCCGACGGATAGAGCAAGCGCGGGAGGCTGAGGAAGGAGCGAGGCGAGGTAGGCAATGAGGGTTTCGCTGAGAGCTAAACAGCATCCCGAATGGGCTGTCGGTGAAGTTGTGAGTACTGGCAGTTCCGCGACATCTTCTACTCTGTTTGATGCCTCATTGTCTGACGCGTCCACATCCGGCTGGATTGGTGGCAAGCGCGCCTCGAGGCCCATGATCAGCACGAGGACAATTGGTCGCTAAGGCAAATACCAATATACACTGCGGGCGTATGAACGCGATGCTGATGCAATTCGACTCCGTCGTGATTGTGAGTGATGACAGAAAGCTTGGGGTTCTTGACGCGACTAGATACGCATGCGGCTAAGCTTGGGAGCTATGGCCCATGACATATGCACATCACATGCAATGCACGAGGACGCCCCGCCCGCCATCACCAAGCATAGCTACAACCACCGACTCTACTGCATCTTGCGTCATCTCTTCCCACTGAAAGCTTTTGAAAGCTACGTGGCGCCACGAGAGCTGTCATGGCCCGCCTCAACCCCTTCTCCTTCACGCCTGGGCCAGTCATCTTCTTTACTACCATCGTCTACGTGGGCCTCTTTGCTGCCCTGCTCGTTACCCACCTGACGGTACCGAATTATCCATCCAATCCGCCAACCGGCGTCAACCTCACAGAAGCTTGGGGCGACCTCCAGCACATTACCCGCCGGTTCCACCCATACAACAGCCACGCGAACGACGATGTACGCAAATATCTGCTTGCGCGCATCAAGGCCATCGTTACTTCAAAAGACCTGGATAAGGGCCAAGTCGAGCTCTTCGATGACCTGACCGCAAACGCCACATTTTCATCTGGCAGCACATCTATCTATTTTGAAGGCACTAATATCATTGTTGCAATCCGCGGTTCTGATGATGACGAACCCTTCAATGGGACTGAGCGCAGTCCGGATAACGGCGGCGTACTTGTGAACGCCCATTACGACTCAGTGAGCAGCGGGTACGGTGCAACTGACGATGGCGTGGGTGTTGTGACGATACTGCAACTTTTATCCTACTTCACAGAATCCAAGAACTGGCCCAAAAGAACCGTGGTACTGTTGCTCAACAACGGCGAAGAGGATTATCTCAACGGCGCCAAAGCTTTCATGCGGAATCCGATTTCTCAGGTCGCCCATACGTTCGTAAACCTCGAGGGAGCTGGAGCTGGCGGCAGAGCTACCTTGTTCAGAAGCACCGATACCGAAATCACCCGCTACTACAAAAAGGCTAAATATCCTTTCGGAACAGTCGTGAGCGGAGATGGCTTCAAAAAGGGTTACATTCGAAGCGAAACTGATTACAAAGTCTTCCACGGCGAACTTGGGCTACGCGGCCTGGACATCGCGTTCATGGAGCCCAGGGCCAGATACCACACTGTGGAAGACTCCACACGTGAAACTTCGATGAACTCGCTCTGGCACATGCTTTCAGCAGCTCTGGCCTCAACATCTGGATTGGCTTCCATCACCAGTGACGAATTCAGTGGCTCAGAAAGCCTCGATAACGGTAGAATCAATACCGGAACTGGCAGCGACGGCGTATGGTTTGACCTCTTCGGCAAGGTGTTCGTCGTTTTTAAGCTACATACCCTTTTCGCTTTGTGCGTCACTTTGCTGGTTGTGGCACCTCTTACATTGATCGGTTTGACGTTTGGGCTCTCCAAGGCTGACAAGAACTACCTATTGGCGCGCAAAGCCTACATCTATTCGTCTGACGATGACAATCCGGTACCTTTATACGGCTGGCGCGGCTTCTTCCGCTTCCCCATCATCTTTGTCACTGCAAGTGCTGTTGTGGTCGCATTGGCTTATCTCATAGTCCGGTTCAATCCCTTCATTGTTTACAGCAGCCCATTCGCCGTCTGGAGGTAGGTCGCTCATGCTGCTACTCTGTCCACTGCTAACGATATCAACAGCATGATGCTCTCAGCCTGGATATTCATCGCTTGGTTCCTTGCGCGAGGGGCCGATGCTATGCGGCCATCAGCACTCCAGCGCATGTACGCTTTGATCTGGCTTTTCATCGGCTCCTTCGTGCTTCTCACAATCATCACGGTCTTCGTGAACGACTACCAGGTTGCCGCTGGTTATTCTGCGATGTTCTACTTCGCAGCTGTGTTCGCGGCAATCCTCCTCTCCTACCTCGAACTCTTCCTCGCTCCAACCAAATCTGCGTATGCCCGTCATTTCGAGCAGGAAGACGAATCCCGGCGCAACTCAGAGTCCGCAAGCAGGCCCCTTACAGGCAGCACCACCGCTGCACGGTCCGATGATCGCCCCGTGGGAGACGATGACGCCACCGAGACCACCTCACTTTTACGCGGCGATCGACGTGGATTCGCAAGATACGGCGGCAACAGGCGAGACTCCATCAGCGAGAGCGGCGAGGATCATGCTCAAGGGCCCCGGCGAATAGATCTCGGCAACGTGTATCCTGGAGAACAAGAGTGGAGCGGCAAATTACCGAGCTGGATCTGGGTCGTTCAACTGCTACTCTTAGCGCCAATCGTGATCATCCTTGTCGGACAGGTCGCTTTACTCCTCACGTCGGCCCTATACCAGACGCCATCCGATGGTAACTCGCCTCTGTTTATTTACCTCGCCTTCGCAGCGCTTACTGTGTTGTTGCTCGCACCCACCGGCCCGTTTATTCACCGCTTCACATATCACATCCCCACCTTTTTATTCCTGATATGCGTCGCAACCGTCATCTACAACCTTGTTGCGTTCCCTTTCAGCAGGGATCATCGCTTAAAGGTGTACTTCGTCCAGCGGGTTAATTGCGAGACTGGTCATAACGTCATGTCCCTGACCGGCTTGGACGGCTATGTGCAACGCATTGTTGGCGAGTTACCCAGTGCGCAAGGCCAGCAGCTTGATTGCACGACGCCCGAGGTTGCGACGCGTAAGGAACTAAAGCAGTGCCAGTGGCAGGGTCTTGACGCTAAAGTCGTCCCAAAGACAGCGCAAGCCGCGCCATTTGACAACAACACATACATTGCCAGCTGGCTCGATTACTCGATTCATAAAGGCAATCACTCGAACAAGGCGACGATACGCGTTGTTGGGCACAACACCCGAGCATGTCGCGTGCTGTTCGACTCGCCCATTACAGCGTTGAGCGTCGACGGCGCCGTTTCAGATCCTCGCTTCAAACCCGTCGGTGGGGACGGCGCCCGGGAAGTGCGACTGTGGCATCGCGAATTTGGGCAGCCCTGGAACGTTAGCGTGACTTGGAACGCCAAAGAACAATCGAAACTTTCTGGAAGGGTCGTGTGCATGTGGTCGGACGCCAACACAGGCGACATCCCTGCTTTCGACGAGGTGCAGCACTATCTGCCTGTGTGGGCAATTCCCTCCAAGATTAGCGATGGCTTGGTCGAGGGCTTCAAGCAGTTCGAAATCTAGGGCAGCGGGCTTTAGTTGCGGGGATCCCTGCATGTCTCCGTTACTTTTGCTGCGATATCCATCACGCAAGCAGTCGAGCACGGCGTCACAGCTCACATGCAACCCCTCACTTCAATTGCTCATTTATGCGAGCTTCCCCTTTATCTCATCAATGCCCCAACTTGTTCACGATCCATTTGTTACTGTTCTTTTTGGAGTTTGGCGGTATCATGTTCACGGCCATTGCATCTTGTACACCCAACGTATAGCATCTTGACGTCAACTTAATGAACTCTATTATCACGACGCCCAAGGCCACCACCCCTCGCTTCACTCTTCGACTCGCCTAATTCCAGCCTCTCGATTCCACGTCTCACCACGAACCGTTCGACAGCTTGGCTCGTACCAGAATGCTGAGAGCGTTTGACGGAGCCCAAGACACTTCACAACGTTATCCGCTACCTACCGACGCAGGATTTACCCCTGCTTTGACCCGAAGGTTTCTTTTAGCTGCGGGAGAGACTATATCATCATCTATAGAGCCATCGACTTTGTCATCGACGTTGACGACTACTCTTGGTTCGATAGCTACTCCAGCTGTCTGTACCGCCAGTCACCC